TTAGCCTGTCCGCTAAGGAAAAAATATTGCAGGATTGTCAGCATCAAGATACAATTGAGCAACCCGGAAGAAAAGAGGATTTCTGATTACCCAGGTGCAGTCTTGAAAGCCGGGAATTGTGTTTGTGATGAGTCGCCTAAGGAATGAGACACCTCCTAAAAGAATAAAAGAAAAGAGTTAAAAGAAATATGAGGAGCATGATTCATTAAAGCGAGTTAAAGATAGCAATAAGTAAACCTCGTTCAGACGTTTCCGAGGGGTTTGTTGAAGGACGACAACCGGTTCGTCTTCAATCCCAGCTTCACGGCGGCTTTCATGTTGCTGCTTTTTTCAAATGAAAGTTGGGATCCAAGTGAGCTAAGGGGTTAGAAAACCTTACTTTACGGACCACTCATCGAACTTTGTGTCTTGGTAAGGGCTCTGAGTCGGAGGAAATGATAGTTACCTCTGCTTCCCCGGCCTGACTGGCCCCAGTGTCATCCTGGTAAGGATCGGTGTCAATAAGATTGTTAAAAAATTGGCCAAGGGAATCAAGGGCTACCTCTGAGTCAGACGTGTCATCAAGTTTCATTAAATCTTCAACAATGGTTTTCTTCTTCTTCTTCGATCTCCGGGTCAATTTCTTGGCGTTCATGGTGGCGAGTTTCACCTTCTTGGCAGCTTTGTGATCGTATTTCACTTTCCAAAAGTCAGAGTTGTCCTACAAAGACAAGAGGAAGGATCAGTAATAAACAAATACGGCTGGACAAAATACAAAGGAAAAAAGATCAGAATATCCTTACTTCTGGTACTGGGTTAAGTCTACAGAAGGGATCTAACCCAACAACACTGCAATCTTCATACTTCGCATTCACCAGAAGGTTTGACATTGCGACAATGTCCTCCTCGGTTAGTTGAACCGGGGTATGACGGAGAGAATCGTCCGGGTCTCCACCATATTCATACATCAATTTTGAACGACGGCCTAATGGAATAATCCTCCATGAGATCCAGCAGCGGGTTAGATCGACTCCGGTTAAACCGTTCCCCAACAAACCGTTGATTCTTTTGATAGATGGAAGCAGCTTCTTGCGTTTAGCAACGGTAAGTTTATCTGGCAGAGCGAACTTGGAGTCAAGACGATCGGGGCGGTAACCCGGCAGTGGCTTCTCGTTGGCAGGTGAGATGTCCTGATAGTAAAACCAAGTTTGGTTCCAGTCCTTTGGGTGACTTGGTAAAACTATAAGAGGGAAGACAGCACCCTGCCGGCGCTGAATTGAGATGCCTCCAAGCTCTAAGCTACGGCCATTGGTGCACTCGTTCTGCTGGTTTAGATAGAAGTACTCTCTAAATAGTTCCACAGTCGGCTCTTGCTGAAGATATACCTCACAGAGCACTTGGAAGTTACAAATATTGGATATGGAATTGGGCCCGATATCCTGAGGATGGAGTTTGAAAAGGTGAAGAACTTCTCTGAAAAACTTTGAACCGGGCGGTGAGAAGCCCTGGTTCATGTGGTCAGTAAAGACGATCACTTCGCCGTCTTTTGGATTGGGTCATTCTTCTTCCGGGTCAGGAGCACGATAAGACATGATGTTTTTTGAGGGCAGAAACCCAATGAGGAAGAACTCTTTTAAACGCTCCTCGGTTATGGTTGAGGGGACCCAATTGCAGATGGTGGGTGTCTTTGACGGCATGACCTGCAAGGGACTGAAAGAGGAAAAATAACATGCTGGTTCAATTTACAGCAAAATTAACAGTTAAAGGTTGAAGTTGTAAAACAAGTAACAGCGGCTTAACTAAGGGCTAATGACATATAAGGAAAAGAAAGCTCAAGTGATAAGCCGCCATGACTACATACTTTCTCAGAAAGCAGATTCAGCTAAGTGTTGGCATAAACAAGTTTCACCAAGCTATCATAATTACTTTAGATCAAATGGCTGTCCCGAAAAGAAAAAATTCCAGACCTAAAAGTCCAGTACAGATGAGTTCATTAGCTAACAAAGCATCTATACAGGAAAAAGGGATCTACTGCTATAAAAAATGAATGCAAAACAGCTACCGCAGCAGTTCTACACTATCTGACGATCAGAAAAGGGCATCGGAGGTGAAATCTATCAACAGTCTGTAACGGGCGGCGACGAACACCGACGGACTCGAGAAGCCGTAATGCAGATCTAAGGCAGAGAAGGAAAGGGACTTACAGATGCAGAGCTACTACGGAGGTTCGTCGAGTTTCTCTGGCCAAATCAGGTCGATGCAGCGGCCTGAGGTGGAGAAGACGAGGAGATCTGCGGCGGCGGCGGTAGAGCTCGAGCGACAGCGAAACAGTGAGAGGAGGAAGACGACCGAAGGGGGAAAATGAAAAAGACCTAGGTCGTGCCTATTTATAAGGGAGTAAGCGAAAAGGCGGGCGTGAAAATCAAGGAGACCCGAATAATGATTATCCAACTAAACGGATGCCTCGATTCTCGGAAGGCATTAAAAAATAAAAGTTCCGTTGGAAGATGACGTCATGAAAGTTGTTTTGTATTTTCAAAAGATGACGTCACGGCGAGTTACAGAAGTTTTCAGACAGATGATGGATTCCATCTAAGTATTGAAGATTGACAAAGAACAAAGTTCAAAGTCAACCTAGGGCCTAATGTTGGGGATATTACTACCAGTATGACCCGCCCAGGAGGGGCCGGGTCAGCCCTAATGGCGGATTACATAAGAAGCCCAATAAACATTCAAGATGATAGTTTACTAAACGTATAGAAGGCCCAAAGGCCTGGGGCCGGCTTAAGGCCTGATATTGTAAACCGCCATATGTAAGGAAAGACTTGTAAAGAAAGGCATGTAAAGGAAGTCACCAAGCCGGACACGATTATGAGCCGGCCGGGACTCTGTAGGCCACCAGGCGTCATCCCGTGTATATAAGGGGACGACCCGGTGGCGGTTTAAGGGCAAGAAACAATAGATCGATAACCAAGCCGACGAGTTGAGCCTCTTGGAGATCGAAACCTCAACAATACCAATCCCAACTAGACGTAGGCTTTTACCTTCATCGTAAGGGGCCGAACTAGTATAAAAACCCTCTCGTGTCCTTTGTCCCGATTAACCCCTTTAAGCTTCCTAGTGCGATGGCCCTACGACTAACTCCTTGCTCTAGGACATCTGCCGTGACAATTCCATGACACTTTGATATTCCTTTTCTTCGAAACCCTAAAACAGGAAAAAAACAGCAATTCTGGGTTGGGCCTTCGGTTAATAGGTTAGTCCCAAAAATAATATAAAAGTGGAAAATAAAGCCCAATAATGTCTAAAACAGTAGATAATATAGAGCAATCAAAAATTATAGATACGTTGGAGATGTATCAACAATTTTATTATTTTTCCTGGAAACTTGGTCACATATAATGACACAATGCGAAGGTTTTCCAATTTTTTGATTTTTTTTGAATTTTTTATGTCCGTTTCAAAATGCGGTCAAACGGCGGGCTTGACCGTTCCTAGCTAGTGGTTGAATCTTGGAAACTTTTGATATTTCTCTGATTAAATAGATACTTATGTACCTAGAAATGATTTTTGGAAAAAATAAAGAGCAAACTATGAGGCAGCTACAGTTCAAATTTGACCTGCTTCCTACTGAATCAGCGGGAATTTGTCTTTTTCATCACAGGTGGATCAAAACTTTTGACACCCAACCATTTTGTCAATTGTGCATTAAACATGGCCTAGTATTTTAGAAAATTGATTTGGTCCAATTTTGTAACAAATATATGGTAGGTCCATCACACAAAAAACTCATTTCGGGCACTCGGAAAATGAAAAATGAATTTTTAGTCAACTACGACCAATTTTTCATTCAACTAGAAGCAATTGAGATGGTCATAACATCGTATGCGTATACTGCATTTTGATTGGTCCGTGGGCGTTTCACGCGGACCGTGCATGGAACACCGTCGGATGCTCGCGGATCCAACGGCAGTCCTCACCCCAAGCTCACCTAAGCTGAAACCCTAGTCCTCGTGAACATTTTCCATCCACCACCCCTCCCCCCGTCTCCATTCTTTCTCCCCTCGCTCTCTTCTCCGTTCGCGCACGCCTCCCCTCTCCTCCTCCCCTCCACGCTCCCTCCCATGGCGAACCCCGTCGCCTCCCCTCCCCGACCTTCCCGCCCCGCTGC